AAAATACGTTAAAATGGCTGCTACTACTCTTAAAGCAATAGATATCGTTAATAAGTTGTGGACTGTAGTTCAATCTGTCTTACAGTTCGAACATGTCTTTATAATACTTTAAAAGATATTATTGAAGGTACTACCAAAGAAAATCAGAATATTTATAGAAAAAACATTAATAAGAACCTTGTCGAAACAAGAGCAGAACAATTGAATAGAATCATTAGAGAATAGATATATCAACTAAATTAACAAAAGAATTAGATACAGTAATAAGACAAGCTATTAATGGAACATTAAAACAGATTGGAAAAACCATTGTACAAGGAATAACGACAATGGTTGATTCACAATGTAATGGAAAAAAATCCAGCTAGTATATTGAAACAATCGAATCAAAATAGACAAAATTATGCAGAAAGTTAAATTGCTGTTGAACAATCTCCAATAAATCAAGATTCAAAAAAAGAACAACAAGATCGAGCGAAAAGAGAAGATCTACAAAATAATATTAGGAATTCAAAACAAATTACTGCAAGTTATTTGAGAGAAGCAAAAGATAAAGATAGAGCTTTAGGTATAGCTGATATAAAAATGTTAGCAGATCGTAAAAGAAGAAAAATAACTGTTTACAATTCAGATACTGACGAAAAAGAAACAATAAATCCCTCAGGAGTAAGAAAAATACCTGATCTTTTTAAACAATCTGCTAAAATCTATTATGAAGCAGGTGAAAATGGAGATATTGGACATTATTTTACTGGTAGAGGAACAGAAACATATATACAGATCAATGAACGGAAAGATTGTTTGCTAATAGCTTATCATGAATCATTAGGTAGAAAAGTAAATGAAAATATTATAGGACAAGAACGAGTATCACTACGCCGTTATACTGCTAAACATTCAGAAAAATATGTTAGAGACGTAGATGGGAGATTGATTTGAATAGACGTAATCAGATGATAGGTGGTATACCAAAGAAAAACTATTTCATCTTCAATCCTATAACTGTAATACAGGATGGTTCTAGAAAAAGAAATAAAATATAAATTAATACCTGAAGCTATGAAAAAATTAAGGAATGAAAATGATAAACTAGTGGTAATTACGTCTCAGCCATTTAAGGCGGATGCAATAAAGCAAACAGATAATGTACGCTTAGATGATCAGAATTTTACTGGAAATAGTGACTATAGTAATTTTCAAGTGCAAATAGATGGACAGAGATATAAACATCAACATAGGGGTAATGAATCTACAACTGTCGCACATGTTTTAGTGACAAGACCACCAAAAGATTCTGATGCTGTTTATCATTATAGCTCAAGAAAAATTGCTAAGACCCTTCTTGATAGTTTAAATAATGGCAAAACAGTAAAATTACTTGCAGAAAATCTTTAATAGGCATTTCAAATTAATCACCTTTAAGTTTTGGTTAAAATTTATATGTGAACAGTATTAAGATCTTTTCCATCGATACAATGCTCCTATTATTGTTTAAATGAATCTCATTATTAGTAGCATATTCCCTTTCTCCTTATGTATTTTCAGCAATCAATGTGTTGCCTTCTTCAGATTTTATTGGTCGAATGAAATGTACTAGAATATATACACATTCACCTTTCTGTTTTTATACAATTTGACAGTAGATCAGTACAACAGTAATAACTTGCAGGAGTGACTTTTCTCTTGTTATTTTCTTTGAATGATGACATGATCTCGGAAATACTAGCCAGGAAAGTCTATACACCCTCAATCATCAAAGACTGTGGGTGCTCAGTTTGACCGAAAGCTTCAGTTCTTTTTCTATCATCTTGCTTTCATAATACATCAGAAAAAAATGTTTTTTTTACCACTTACAGTGTTTGCATAATGCTAATGAACGCTATCTCATGTGAAATCAAGATCTTCAAAAAAATCTGTTTGTAAGTAGAAAAATATTTTTTCAAGACTTTGATTTTTTTGATTTCACATAAGATAGAGACTCCTTAGACTTGCCTGTTCATTAGAATTATGTGAACACTATAAGTGGTAAAAAAATCATAACGGGTGCGGCAGAATAAATGGCCCTCTCAGTATTTTAACTAGAACATTTTTTCTTTTTGTCCTTTAGAGCTGATTGTTTTTCCAAAAGATGCGCCGTTAAATTCTCTACAAAATCATAATCAAACTTATTTTTGTAGAAAGTGAAGAAAGAAAATTAGGCGAAAATTATTCAACACATAAAAAATATCTAACTTTCCAAACTATTTGATGTTGCATAATGAATGACCAGTATTTTGGCGTTTGCGTCTCTTTTTTTATCATCTAGCATGTCTATTTTGAAACTAAAGTATACCATAAGATGCAGCTTGAAAAGCTCTAAAAGTTACATTTAAAATCTTATTTTATATATGTATTCTTTGTTTTCAAAATGGACGAAATTCTGTACGACAAATTTTCGATGTTGCAAACAGGATCATTTGTTGGTCGCACAATATTTTGCTTATTTTAGAAACAAAAGGTGTACATATATAAAATAAATTGTTCTTTGTAAATTGTAGAGCTTTTCGCGCTGCATTTTGTGGCATATTTTGTTTTCTTTTATTGAAGCCTGTTAAGTGATAAAAAGATGAATTAAGAAAAAACGAATTCGTAGTGTAACAAAAAATGATCTTGTTTGGAGCGACAAAAGTTGGGCGCACAAAATTTTGTCCATCTTATAAACAAAGAATGCATATATAAAATAAGATTTTTAATGTAACTTGTAGAGCTTTTCAAGCTGCATATTATGGTATACTTTGTCTTTAAAATAAACATGCTGAATAATAAAAAAAGTGATACAAACATCAGCCATTCATTATGGAACATCCAATAGCTTGGAAAGTGGGGTCATTTTTATATGCTATATTATCTCCTTTTAATGGTTTTCCCATAAATTTCTACAAAAATAAGTTTGATTGTGATTTTGTAGAGAATTTAACGGCGCATCTTTTGGAAATACAATCAGCTCTAAAGAACAAAAAGCAAAAAAGTTATAATTAAAATACTGAGAGGGCCATTTATTTTGCCGCACCCGTTATTATGGAAGCAATACGATAGAAAAAGAATTGGGGCTTCCGGTCAGACTCAGCACCTCCGTATAATTCCAACTTTGCCTATAGATTTTTATGTATTCTGTTACAATCAAAATAATTGATGGAGACTTTACAGAAAAATATTTTATTACACTTCTAAGCATTATATCATTTCTAAAAAGTTTTATTTGTCACAATTTACTGCAAAAACATTCGTATGTTTGTGTGTACAAAGTTTCATCAAACTAATAAAGAAATGTAAGTTTAAAACTAAAAGAATGTGGAAACCTCGGATTTAAATCCGAGAGTTATGTGTACTTCAAAAAGTGAATGAGGCAGATGAGTTATCCTAGAATGTGTGGATATAAAAATTTGCCCGACAAACCTTTTCTATAAACACTTGAATTCTATTGGCTACTGCTCAACCAATAGGATTTGGGGGTGAATACAACCCAGATTTGAACTCTTCACCTTGATTTACCTTAAGAAAGAAAGTCGTTTTTCCTATAACTTGATTTCTATTGGTTACTGCTCAACCAACGGGATTTCGAGGCGAATGGAGCACAGATTCGAGTTCTCCACCCCAGAAAACCTCGAAGTATCATGTCTGTGATTGGAAGACAGAGCTCGAATTGTGGATCAATTAGAGCGTGGACAAAAACAGAACCGATTTTCGTTTAATTATCCTTGCAATAGTCGAGTTAGCTTTCTTGTTTCCTTATGTTTTATATACCATTTTGTAGCTCGTAAAATTCTCTATCGAATGGTATATAATAGTTGGGGTTTTATTTAATTATAATAGGAAAAGTTTTTACGAAAGCGGAGATAGGTCGATCTTCGCGTAGGAAGGCATAGGAAAAAATGACTATTTTCCCAATAGCTCAGCAATGGCTCGACCAATCGTTCTCATCTTCGAACTCGACCGAGATATTGTTGAGACTAAACTGTGTAGAAAATTTCATCGCGATCTGACTCTCCTTTCAAAAGTTATCGTGTAAACAGTGGAACGAACGGGCACACTGACCGATTCTAGAGTGTACTCAAAAAGTGAATACACAAAAATCTGATTTTAGTTCAACAAAACGACATCGATGATATATTAATAATCTAGATAAACTAGAGAAAAGTGATAAATCAGTAGAATAAGAAAACACAATATGAATATAAGAATTGGTGTTTTTTTTCAATTCCCAAAGATAAATTATTTAATAATTCTTCGAGAATTCTGTCTTTATTTTTATAATTAACTTGAATCTTCGAAAAGATTGAAAAAAATATTAAATAGATATGGATGAATACCTACCTAGTCGATTGGACAATTAATGTTGAACAGTTAGAATCTTAGTTTATTTAGGTTTTTGTTTGTATCTGATACTTATTTAAAATCGGTATTGATAAAACGTTATATCATTGATCAATTATTGAAACGTCGATTTGATATGTTTTTATCGACTGGGTAAAGTTTTGTTCGTAAAGTAATTCGACAATATAGAAAATCTAATAAAATTAAAGATTATTTTAATTAAACCACTATGCGATAGAATAATAATATGAGCATAGATTCATTATTGGATTTTTGTTAGTCTACATTATTGTCAGAATTTGACTGACGATTTAACTCAAGAAGAATCAGCTACTATTTATCTCAATAAAACACGTCGAATAAACTGAAATATGTGTCTTATGCTCTCGTTCGTTGTGTTCGCTTATGCATACAGTTTTGTCTTTCCTCTTGCTTGAAGCATTGTTATTTACATACGTTTTCAAATACGACGAATAAATAAGAATTATGACAAATAATCAAGACTAAGATGAAAGACATTGATTCGCGACTAAAGATGGTGACTATTGTTGTGTGTTTAAATCATTTGGAAAAAAATGATCATATCAAAAAGTTAACCAACTCAAGTCTCATTTATGATTTCTTACAGACATTTAATAAACACACGCGTCCTTCCCTGAGGGTCGTGGTGTTACAGAAATCTTATTGAGAATGCTACGGAAATCTTTATCGCATATACATTAGCACATCTCTCTGCTGAGGATGCTCGAAAATCGTGATTCCGCACGAAAAACGTATTCCTTACTGAATAAACTTGATTGAATTCGGATGAAAATATTTGAATTTCTAACTTGCAATTCATCCAGTACGGAATATGTCTTTCATGTGGAATCACAATTTTTGAGCACCCTAAGCAGAGCGATATGTGCTGATATGTGTTATACAGCTTTTTGTGGCACTCAGCCTCAGGAAAGGATGTCTGTGTCTATGTCTATGTCTATTTATACGAAACCTCAAAAAAAAACGAGTAAAATATATCAATTCGCGCGATTTTTCCTACCAAGAGTTTTTCTTCTCCAAGTTGAAATAATTACTCAGAACGTGTTTTTCAATTGTTACAGTCTATTCTGAAACGATTTTACTCTTCGACAAGAAATTTTTCAAAGATCGTATATGAATCCCAAAGACCTTCGAGTTTTTGATCAAATTTCTGGATTCTTTGGTTTTTTCGATCTACCTTTCAAAAGACATTGCTGCTTTTGAATAAAAAATTCCTCCAATCAGAAGGTTTTATACTTTCAAGATGAGCAATGAGCATAACTTGCTCAAGAAAAATGAGAAATTCAAAGACGCTCATCCAAATTCAATCAAATTCATCCAGCAAGGAATCTGTGTTTTATGTGAAATGACGATTTCCGAGCACCTTCATCTGAACTTCTTTCTCCAAAATAGTGAGTAGACACTTCCACCCTAGTGAAACATCTTGTACGCAAGATCTTGACCAAGATACAAGGTACAGAAATGTTAATACATCTTGAAAATTGAGGAACAAGATAATATAATTATCTTGGACCAAGATCTGTAGCATTAGATCTTAGGTACAGATTAATCTGATGCAATTATAATACAAGAACATGAAGTCTGTGCCCAAGATCTTCAAATTTTTGGCAAGATCTTGACTTAACAATATTTTTAAAAATTATTTTGCCACTGCTTGTAACTAGATTGTGCCGAATTGTTCAGAAAAACATAACCTTTATTTAATGATGGTCATAAGGGCGACGATTTCGAACATTTTTTGAATTGACTATTGGTCACTACTTTGACTCCTTGTGTTTCTGGAAGACATTTGATCTCAGATTCATATTCAGCGTCAAATTTTGCATCAGATAGGATATTTCGGAAATATTTAGAGCCACTCTTAAGTGAATATTAATGATTAGTTTTGGCCGTGGGTATTTCAACCAAGATCTATTAGCATTTCTGTACCTTGTATCTTGGCCAAGATCTTGCTTACGAGATGTTCGCCTAGGGCAACTACTCGTAATGAAAATGTTCAGGGAAAAAGCTATAACGCAAAAAAAAATTTAGAGGGGGAAGGAGAATCACCCTCTCCATCCCTAATCGTATGTGCTGCAGTTGATTATGTTTGAAAACGATGACAAGACCAATACCGAATGCAGCTATCATCACGGTTGAGTCCGAAATTGGTTGATTTATAAATCCATTTATTTATACCGATTGATAAATCGTAAATTTTTTAATCGAAAATTTAACATAGTTATAAACATTTTTGGAATTCATAAATCGGGCCTATTTATAAATCTATTTTTGGTTTATAAATGCACCACTGATTTATAAGCATCGGACCAAATCAAAGAATCTGGTTTATTTATGAATGAATTCTTGATTTATAAATGCAAATCCCGAATTGACTAATACACATATGCATATCTAACTCGATCTCATTGATGAGTTCTAGATAAACATATAAGTCAAAATCTACCGAAGATTTAACAAATTAACAGCTGAAAACTAAACAGAATCTTCAGATTTTAGCAGATTGATGAGTTAGACTTATATTTGTTGTATCAATTGACACAATGTTTAATATTAACCCTTTCCGGGCGGATGTTGCCAAATGGCAACATTGAGTTATTGTTGTCTGCGTTATTATTCTTTTACTAATGACATATAATCATTTGACAATCCTATAATTAGTCATAAACATTTCCACACCTATTAATGTATTCATGACATAAGAATAAACGTTCCTCTAAAAACCTACAGGGGTTCAACATGACTGCCCTGATAAAATGGTATAAGTCAACAATTTGGAATTTCTGGCTATCTCACTATACTATGTCTGAATTTTTTATCGAATAATTTTGCTCATATATATAATGCTATCTGATGCATCACTACGATAAATCATGCAGTATATCTAATCGATCAAAAAGTATAGATGTTGTCGTTTCGCAACTCCCGGTCATAAAATGGATAAAACTGGGTGTCTGACTACGAATATAAAAAAAGATACTATTTCTGATGTTGGAAGTAATGTATCGAAACAGTATGCATCCAGCTGAAATAGAATACACACAAAATAAATTCACGACTCGAGAAACTGGAATGAACAGTGGGTGACAGAATCGGTAGCACAGCAAGAAAAAAACTCTCTAACATTCCATTGATACTAATGCCATCTATCGCGAAATGCTGTTATCAGTAAATAACCAAGTAACTATTTTCAGTATCTATGTATATTTTTTAGAGGCTTTTTTTTTGTTTACACTTGATAAATAAATGAAAACAGTGAATAGTAATACATTTGGTCAATAAAAACAAAAAATGGATCTAACATCATTTTTACCCATAGTGGCCGGCTGTTGCCAAATGGCAACATCAAAGCATTTGATATTACCTAGATGAATGATACTAATGGAACAATTTTTTCTAATTATCATCACGTCTACATCATAAATATCGGTCAAAAGAAGTTTTTGCTCTTTAGATTGTGGGAGCCAGCTGGAAAGGATTAAAGAAACAGACGACAGTGATATGGATTATGCAGTTTTGTAGAGCGAGTTTTGCTTTACAAAATGGTATATATTACAAATATTAATTAATCAATTTTAGTAGAAATTTTACACCGAAACTAAAAACCCAAAAGCATCCATTTATTATTTCATTCATGACAATAGTGATCAAGAATGTAACGCCTATAGCTCTTGATAAATTCTACTTGGAGACGTGAAATTTTGGCCTTTGGCCTAACTTTTGATAGGCTTTCAAAAGAGCATTAAAAAAAATAAGGGATCAAAAATTTTGGAGTGACGACGTTGCTCGATGGGGTAGTGGTGGACTATCTCTTAAACCATATTTATCCACTAATTGTGCTATATCATTTTCAATCATATTAGGAACTTCAGATGCAACAGTTACAATTGAAACATTATCAAATGTTTCATAACAATATATTAGATCATCATCAATTTCATGTGGACTTTGACGAAGAAAATCAGTTCGATGTGTACCACGTTTATTTTCATTTATAAATGGTCTTTCAATGTGAATATCTAAATCTAAAATTTTATTTATTTGCTTTATTCAAAAGAAAGAATTCTTTTTCTTACCGAGAATAGTTCTACCATCTTTGACTGAACCAGCTCGTCATTTATATTTTGGTAATTTTATTTTATGTCTCCAGATCTGAACTAACAACAGTTGGAACAAAAGGAGTAACATCATGTGATATTAATTGTGTAGCAACGCAACTAAAAATCTCTTTTTGCTTGCTTCATCTGACGAGGAAAAAATCATGACCAAATGCACCATTAATTTGCAAATCAATATATTCTAGTGCAATTAATATACCTTGACAATCATATTCAATACTAAGTCTAAGTTTTAAGTCGAACCTTTGAGACTCCTTCTTCCTCCTCCTCTTCCTCATTACGAACCTTAGCAACGAGAGTGGTAAGCGTTTCTCACCCTTAATAGATCTCACCAACCGCAATCAAAGATTCAGGCATCGACAACAATGCTTCGATTATTCTAGAATATTCTCGAACCTTCCTAAAAATTCAAGTAACTAATGTTCATTCAGAAAAAAGGCCGGTGAGTATTTTTCGAGTAACTATTGATAGGAGCAAGATAGAGAGCTGCAGTTTTCACCATTGAAAAGAGGAGATGAAGACGCATTGAGTCGTGTTATATAGTTTTTTCCAGAAGGTTTTTAAAGTTTTGATAATGAATTTTCTAAAAAAAATGCCGAAAAATTGAGTTCCTATTTTACGGGAAAAACGCAAAAAAGTGATTTTTTTTTACAGAAATTAATAAGAAAACTGGCTAAGAATTTCCACTAGGACACTTATAACTTCTGAATGGATAGATCTAAACGTCTCGGTCTTGCGTATAATTTGTACATCTTCTGTTACCGATTCAAATGCACATGCAATTATTGAAAAATCATTTTAGTCATCTTACAGAATATGTTGGTTTTCAAAAATGTCGCTTTAAGTCTTTGAAAAACTATGTCAAAGTATCTTATAATATACAGTTCGATGCATCTTCATCTCCTTTTTCCAATGATGAAAACCGCAGCTCTCTATCTTGCTCCTATTAAAAGTTACTCGAAAAAAATATCCACCGGCCTTTTTTTTCGGGATGGGCATTAGAATAGCCATTACCTTTATGTAAATAAAGAATTATATGATAGTTATCAACGATGAAAAAGAGAATGAAATATTAATTTCCTGCAATCGTCATACGTCCATTAAAATAATCATGCAGTAATCAAGTTTTCAGTTTCGACAATAATAAATATCAGTCTTTTTGAGTTTGTTAAGATGTGTAATACAAGTGTAAAAATCGGTACAACCAATTGTTTTGTTAGTTAAATCAATGCGCAAAAAACTAAAATAAAAGAAAGAATAAATATGGAGCGAAAAGCAACAAGATAGTTTGTTTCACTAACGGTCGATTATTTGTAAAAGCAACTATTCTCTATTATATATTATTTACTCTACATGTTTTGTATCAGTACAATGAAACTGAAGAAGACATGTGAGTTCCACATTTTAGCTTCAAAAGAACTGTGCTAACAAGCTTTTCCTATCCATTTAAACTTTATTATTGTTATGAAAATGAATTCTAACTATTTTATAAAATTTACTATATATTTGTATAGCGTTTGAAATTTTCTATCAATCGAAATTTCTGAAACAGAAAAACTCAAGGAAGAGTGGAAATAACCAATTTACTATACTTTGTAAAAGAGTGATATTCGGTAGTACTGCCTTATTAATAGGAAGAGATATGCAAAAAGTACAACTACATCATCCTAGCTGATAAAGAATTTTCAACGTTTTCATAATATACAATTACTCTCGTAAAAAGCTATTTCTAAAGTAGAACTATATTAAAAATAATATTACAGAAAACATCGATAAAACTTTGTCGTTTAAATCAAATTGATAGAAAAGTTCAAGCACTATCGAATGGAAGAATAAATTTTTCCAATATGACATTCTAAAGTGACAAGTTAAAAACCGACAGTAGCTTTTCCTTTCAGGGCTATGTATATATCACTCCTGCCTCTATAGACGTCTCTAGATTACAAGGCATTACAAGTAAGACTTTAAAATAATTTTTAATTGGTTAAAGAAAGGTCAAACATATGCTCTCCTTGGAGTGTGGGTGTGGATGCGTAGGTGTGGCTGCAGATGTACAGGAAGAGAACACATCCACACCCTTATTTTGCTTTAATTTGTTTACAAATATCATTTATTTTAAAGTCTTCTTTAGTCGAATCGAGAATGGCATCGTGTTCAATGAATGAAATTAATAAGAAAAGTGCATCAATTGTTTTGTCATTAAATCAAGAGTCACCACAGTATGATAAAGATGATGAGGTGAGTAATCGTTATATCGTTGGCTATCTTTTCGAAAATATTTTCACTTTTCTCTTTTGTACTCAAAGAATGAGAGCATTTTATATATGTGTACATATGAACTGTTTGAAACCAAAGGCAACAAATACCGCTATGGTCTCATTTACAAAAATTATTTACGAAGAGTTAAACAGCTAGTTTTTTCCTTGAAAACATTTCTTAATTTTAAATCAATAGTCAAAGTATTTTCTCCATCAGTTCATAGTAATCTCCTGTAAGGGGAGAATTTTTTTGTCCAGCAGGACTCAAATCGTCACTTTTTTTTCTTATACTAGAACCTGAAATGAACCTTGATTAGAATTAATCGATATTTTGCAAGTACTTTCATATTCACAGTACAGTATTCAGATTTTTACTTTGTATGTAAGAGTACATTGTTTAGTTTCTTCCATAAACCGCAACAAAAAAGAATGTTAATTTCAAGGTTGAAGAAGAAAAGTCAGTATTTGTTCGACATCTCTCTGTTCCTAAAATTCGATCAATTTTATTTAGTATATGTTTCTTCATTGTTGCTGAAGTTGGAGTAATTGAATATATCGTTTTGACGTCAAGTGTCATACTCGTGATTACATATATGGAAGCTTTTCTATTCATGATAATCATGCCCATTTTTTTCACTTTATTTTACTCTCCGTGCATTTACTTCCTTCTTCATATAGCTCGTCAGTATCAGCAGAAAAATATTCATTAAAAACGAATTCCCTTAGCAAATCAATATCACTTTTCATTTCTATGACGTGTGTTTTAATTTACCATGAATTGCTCGATTTTAATCCACTTGATATTTGTCTTCTATGTCTTCATATAAATATCAATTTAGAATAGAAAAAAAATATTTCAAAAACTGCAAAAATCTGATTGATTATTGAGTCGGATGTAGATATCCAATGCAGTCGCAAGACACTACGTCATCGTCGAACTTTTCTACAAAAACTTTAAATTGATTTTTATTCAAAGTCATCTGAAAAAAAAAATTTTAATTTTCAAAATGTGAACTTGAGCTATTTTGAGTCAAATGACATCCATTACTTACCATGAAAATTAAACATCTATTTCGAAATTCGCTTTTTTTTTCTTTTGATTGCAGGCAAAAGCAAGATTTTGGTATGCCCTCAGTATGATTGTGATATTCAACCTATTGTTAATTTGGGTTGTATATAAAGTTATTCAAGGTTTCGTAAGTACTATTTACATATTTGTTGTTTTTGTTTGCTTTCAATTGTGAAATCTTGCATACCTATGACTTTTTCATAATTGAACTTGAATTGATTACTCGTGCTCTATTAGATAAATTCAATGTTGAGAAACTCTTTTGTCTTTACAGCTGTATCTTCTTTCGAAATTTTATTAAAAAAAAGATGTTAGCGCAATTTCTGCACGAGATTAGAAATGTGAAACACGATCTCTGTTCTTCTAAAAATTATCTATCGTGATCTCAGTGCGTGAAGAGAATGCAAATTTCTACCCTGTATACATCGACAGCTTTTTCAGATCGTGTTTCACAAAAGAAATATCAATTTTTAAGTTTTCTCTAAGCTAAGAATAGTGTCTAAAAACCGGAAATCGTCTACATATGTCTGTAATATACTTACTACATCCTAGCTATGAACGATTGATCATAAAATATTTATGATACAGCCAATCACATGATCACTGTGATACCAATGATTGCGTAGGATAGTAAAGTACATTAGAATTTCAATTAACGTTAGTATTTATTTCAGAATTAACTATACTAAATCTGTATGCACACAGTATTTTTCTGTATACCCATGTCCATGTCGACACGAACGCATTGGAACGCGTGACGAACATAGAGATGACGTCACGCGTACCAATGTGTTCGAATCGATATGAGTCCATGTCGATTCGAACGCATTGGTACGCGCGACGTCACCTCTATGTTCGTCACGCGTTCCAATGCGTTCGCGTCGACATGGGTATATGACACAAAAATACATGCATACTACTGTGTATGAAGGAGAAGGAAGGCACCTTATTAACCATTTTTTATTCACAAAATCGTTGTTCTCGATCAAACCATTTCAACTAAATCAGGGTGGTTTTTTTGATCTGTTAACGTTTTTAAATTGTTTTTTACAGTTACTGGTATATTTTTCAAGGGGGAAAGTGCTAGTATCGTGCACCTAAAATGCTGATAGGTGCTGAACAGGTGTTCAGGTGCTGAGCAGGTGTTGAGGTGCTGAGGTGCTGAGAAAGTGCTGAGGTGCTGAAAAGGTGCTGAGAAAGTGCTGAGGTGTTGAGAAGACGCCGGACGAATACTGAGGTAATATTAGAGTTTAAAAGATATTATACGATTAACTGCTATTATTATGATGGACTAACAGCGCTCTCTATAGATTCACTTGTGTATCCAATCTTAATGAACATTCTGTGTGCCC